GGTGAGGATGTCGAGTGATAGTATGCGCGTGCGATGCATGTACAATGCTTGGGTTGTTGGGCGATGAATGCGCGAGTGCAGGAATTATTGCGCGAGGTGCAAAGCGCGGGAAGGCGCAGGTGCGCGTAAGGTGCGAAGGCGTGGGAAGTTGCGCGCATGGCGCGCGCGAGGCGCGAGAATGTGCGCGTGCATATGCACTGAAGGCGCAGGAATGAAGCGTAGCATGGTGGATTGTGAGGGTGACTTCTGGTGTGAATAGTGTTCCATGGGTGTGAGGTGATGATGCAAGGGTGATATGGATGTGGTGCGCGAAGCGTGAGCGAGACGCGCATGTACAGCGTGAAGCGCGGGAAAGCGCGCGCGCACAAGGCACGAGAAAGCGCATGAGTGTCGCGTGTTTTGTATTGTGCGTATGATACGAAGTGGCGTGGTCCAAGAGCGATCCAATCCATATCCAGACCAAGTCCTGCTAGGCGCGCTAAATATTAGGTGGTAAGGTTTGAACAGTGTGAGTAAAACTATATGTGAAAATGCGAAGGAAAAAATGGTAAACTTTGCGGATGTCCTATCCGACTTGTCTTCTTTGTGCGGCTGTCGACATCTACACCTTCCTATGAGCGAGGCGCGGGAAGCACACATGCGCGCACATGAGGCGCATGGGCGCGGGAATATTGCGCGCCTATGCGCGCGTTCTAAGGTAAAAAGGGCATGGTGCCGCGTCATGCGTGCGAAGAGAAAATATACTATTGAGCTAGGCGGGCACAATCTAAGGTTGTTTTGTTGTTTTCTTCTATGTTCTTCTAGGTGCTTCCTATATGCATATATATCAGTGTGTTATTAGTCTTTTGGACGGTGTTATAATGAGAAAAAATGAGAATGAAAGAGCGCTGGACGAACCCCAGGGTAAAACGAATGATATCCTATGAACAGCGATGGTATATCTTTCTCTTTGGTGCGCCACTGAAGCGCACGATCCTCCTCCTTGAGCGCGTGCGAGTGCGCGTGACTAGCGCGCTTCGCGTCTCTTGCGAGCTGACGCTTTACTCAAGGTAGGGTTGGAATGAGCGAGGCTGGCGTGCTTGGGGGGGGGGCTTGTAACTGGCAGAATGAATTCCTGCACAACGCGCTGCAGGTTGAAGGCGCGCCAATGGGGGGCGCTGCAAGGGGTGTAGGGGCGCCCTACAAGCTGATAGGATGCGCGCGATGTGCGCGCCTTGAAGCAATTTCGCGCGAATTTGATTATATTGGCTGAACACGCGAGGAACGGCCATTTATCTGCAAATGCGTTAGTGAGAGATGTATGTAGTGTAAAATTAGGCGCAAATGTTGCGCAAATGGGCAGTAAAGGTGGTATATCAAGGCGCAATAGGCGCATGGGCGAAAGAGAATAGTGCACATCAAGGCGCGCAGGAACGAAATTGACATGGTAAGCAAAAGCGCGAAGAATGCGAATAAATGTGGAAATTGCGAAGTTAAAGATGATGATAGGGGGGTTAGGCGCGTATGTATGTGTAAGGCGTGCGCCTAAGTCGCGCCTGGATGACTGATTGTAATATACCTTGTGTTGAATGAAAGAAATGCAATTTAAAAGTGGAGAAGTGATAGAAACGCGATAGTGCGAAGACTCTGCTTGAATTATGAATGCGCAAGGCGCGGGAACGCGCGCGCATATTGCGCGATGCGCGTAATCATGGCGCGTGAACAAGGGGTGGTGCGAAGATGAACCTAAAGTGTTTGGAAGCGTCATATAGCTCCTTAAGAGCTTTAAACATGAAAGAGACAGAAAACGCGAAATGAGACGAGGGTAAATATACAATACCTCTAGGCGCGCGCATTGCGCGTCCTCAGGCGCAATATGGTGCGCCTGAGTCGTGCCAGGGTCGCCTGAGACATACTCTGCTTGGTGGTTAGATGGCGTGATGCATGGATGCTTTACTGGCGCGCGGTAGTCACTAGGAGCAAAAAGCGCGATGTGTGCGTGATTGTGAGTGACATCTGGAATTTCCAGAGACAAACTCTGGTTGATGCGAGGTGTGACTTGAGCTTCTGGTGCGGTAGGAGGCTCCTCTATAGGCGCGCCAAGGTGCAATGGATGTTTAGGGTCATCCCTGACCTCTGATGATGCGAGCGGTGGTAGCAGTGATGGTGATGGCATGATTGGCGAGATTTCTTCCTTAAGTGTTGCGATAGCGAGAGGCGAGTGTGTTTCTAGTGGTGCATTAGTGTGCAATAGATGATTAGAGTCATCCCTGACTAATGGTGATTCAATAGCGGTAGGCGCGCGCGATGTGATAGTGATAGGCGCGCGCGATTCGAGCGATGGCGCGTTAGTGTGCAATAGATGTTTAGAGTCATCCCTGACTTCTGACGCGATTGATGGTGATGGTGATGATGCAGATTGTGAAGGAGATGGTGCTGCTGAGGATGATGGTGAAGAGGCGCCTACAGTGCGCTTCTGGTTGCACTTCGCGAGCGCGCGCTCGAGTTCGTGATCTAAAGTGGTGCGTTCTGGTATGGCTTTGTGTGCTGGCGCAGTTAATGGTTGAGGTGCGCGTGAATCGCGCGAAGGCGCGGGAAGGGCGCGCGCGCGAGGCGTGTGAATAGGAACTGGTGGCCTTCTGTCAAGTACAACTTCTGAGGGTGCGCGGTAGAAGAGTCCAGCTGTCGCATTAGCGCTAATGGTCGTATCCTGGGTTGCATGGTTCACGTGATGGTGATCTTTGCACTTAGCCACTTTAGCTTGCGCTGTTGTGCTTGGCGCTACCACAGGCGCGCTTACTGGTGTGCTTGGCACGGGAAAAGCGCGCGCAGGTAGTAGGAACTGCGCAGCTGCAAAGACATCCATAAATGGGTATGGGTCGTATGGATGGTGGTCGGGGAACTTGATCATAAGGCGCAAGCGGATTTGCGCCTGAGCATCGCTAGGGATTCCTTCCATGAATAAGCGGTCGTGTTCGGCCTTTCCAATACGGTCTTCATCCATGAGTGGCTGCATAATCTTCCTGAATGCGCGCAGGTAATTGCTGAGTTCTGTGCAAGAGGGCATTGGTTTGTTAGCGTATTCGCGTGCGATGGCGCGCAAGTCCGCGAGCGCATAGCGTCTTTTACCATCCCATCCAGGATACATTACCTTTACCTCATCTAAGAAGGCATCGTAATCGCTTACTTGCGCCTCAGGCATTCCGCCCCATAGTTCTTGATCGTCGCGCTCAAGGTAGCGGATAATACCTTTGATGCGGTCAAGTCCTTGGAGTCCTGCATCATCAGCGAGCTGCTCATAGGTGTCAATAAACTCGGCAAGGTTGTCTGTAGTGCCATCGAACTTGGGCGCGTTTGCTGTGCTGCGGATGGGCATTCTGAAGGGCATTGAAGTGCGTGAAAGGTGCGCGCGCAAGGCGCACAGGGGTGGGAAAGCGTGCGCGCAAGGCGCGAGAATGCGTGACTAGAAATTGGTTAGCTTTTGAAATTGCAAAGAGATTGACCTTATATGTGCGAATTGCGCTAAGTGCAAAGGTGCGCTTGCAAGGCGCACAGGGGTGGGAAAGCGCGCGCGCAAGGCGCGAGAATGCGTGACTAGAAACTGGTTAGCTTGTGAAAATGCAAAGAGATTGACCTGTATGTGTTAAGATGCGCAAAACTAGATCTTGCTGACTGCTCCCCTCGCGGTGGGCTCCAGTTGTAGAAACTACAATACAATGAGGAACAAGGATGCTCCTAACTGTATCTATAAAATGTTGTGAGGTCGCGCATTACCTAGTCTGCGTTGCTTGAGGAGACAAGTGCGTTCGACCCTAAAGGGGAGGTGAGTACAGCAAAGATCTAGAGGTATGCGCGGCAACGCGAAGCGTGAGAAAGCGCAGGTGCGCGCAAGGTACAAAGGCGCGGGAAAGCGCGCGCGCGTAAGCGGTAATAAGAGAGACTAAGCTTAAGTGATAATATGATGCAATATAAGAAAAGAGAGATGCAAAGTGTAGACAAAATGGAGTTCTACTATGTACTGCTAAGTAAATAGTGGGTGATAACTAGTAAGTTAAAGGGAAAAAGTAAGGTAAGTAATAGTATGTACTGCTGGCGCTTATATAGCGCGCCTAAGCGCGGTCAAGCGGAGCCGAAGCGCTACCGAGTAGGTATGTAAATATATATATGAGTGAGAATGCATGATAAAAATAAAGGTGGAACTATGCTAATAAAGGAAATGGAAATATACGCACTAGGGAGCTTGGTGGACAGTGGATGGATGCTTCTGGATGGCTGGCGCTATAGGGCGCGCAAGCGCGGGAACGCGCGCGCGCGTATACATCGCGAAGCACGGGAATGGTGCGCGCATGGCGCGCGTTGCGCGGGAAAGCTGCGCGTCATATAGGAATCACTGTGGATGGTACACGGAGTGATGCTGCGAGTTGGTGCTGTATACTCCCTAGTGTAAAGCTGTCATATCAAACCATGAGACACACGAGTCTCTACACCGCAAACTTGAGGTTGTTTGGCAGCATCTAGTCTTATCAAAAGTGTAGTCTTCCAACTTAGTTGTTATCCATCTCAGGCCTAGGGAGTTTCTCCCTAGGCCAGAGCTCTGCTTATCCAATACTCTGCTCATCTGCTCATCTGATCCTCTGTAGTTTCCGGAAGTTCATCTGGATCTTTCCTGCGGTCCTCCAGACCTATTCTGCTTCGGACTTTGTCCTTGCAGCCTTTCCTCTGTTTACTTCTACTCAGGACAAGTCCCGAGTAGCCATTATACATATCAATATCAGGACGAAATCTCATTGTAATTTCCGGAAGTTCCTCCGGAACTTTCCCACACTCATCCGGAAGTTACTTGCGCCCGTCCGGAAAGTCCTTCCGAAGTTTCCCACGCCTTTGGACGTCCTTCAGATGTCTTCGGACTTTCTTCGGACACCAATCTGAAATTAAGGGCACATACTCGGGTAAGGGGCACAGCGCACGAGCTGAAGCCAAGCCCCTCAGAATCAGTCCTACCCTTTGTGCATGGTCTTAACACATATGAGATATGACTTCTGGTGTTAGGTCCTGACGATGGTTGTTTCCAAAAACCTTCCTAAATAATAATGTCAGATATCTCTTATGTACGCCTCAAGGCAGAATATACCTGGTTCACCATTCGAGAAGTTGGTTCACCCTACATTGTGTGACGGGTCCTGGGACATCTTCAAAAAAGTCTACCACGTTGTTCCAGAATCCTTCATAGTCGAAGTCACCATCAATGGTGCACCAAGACGAGATGTTGGACAGCGCAAAACGAACCTGCCATAAAGTATTGCATGTCAGGTTTGGACGGTGGGTAACGATCTCTACTTACTTGGCACACAACGTAGGCGATGGAGCGAGGAGTAACCTTCCTCATGTTGATAATGGAGGCCACACAAGTTTTAACCTTGGCCTGATTTAATTGTCGCTGGGCATGCCTGTTGTTTTCGAGGATGTCAGCTCCATCACCGTCACCATCAGCCTCTCTTGTGGAAGAGGGTGATGTGAATATAGCTTTGAAAGCCTAACCCGGTAATCATTAGTACGGTCACCACTATTGCCCAGGTGACTGACTTGAACAAGAATCTTGGACTTGAAGAGGCCTTGCTTGAGGTTGCCATAGTTGACCATGTATTTCTCGTACAAGAATAGTGGCCACGAGTTTTCCAATACAATGTAGTCTACCGTTCTGTCACGGATCCCAGCTTTCACCCTGTCAAATCATCAGGGTCATCTAATAGCTGATGAAGGCTGACACTCATGTGTTATCACCCCAGTCCCACTCCGAAGGGCAGAGTAAGTTCCCACAAATGTCACGTACAAAGCCGCGCATCTGCTTGTCATCCAACTTCAGTAGAGAAGATGGTCAAAAGTCTTGATTAACCCAGGAAGCGATGAGGTCTTTGAGAGTGGATGTATCGTCTCCACGGGCCGCATCCGCTCCTCTTTTGAGCTAGTGTCATCAGTATGCAGGGCAGAAAGCTTTGGAACTGAGAATACAGACCTGTTTCATCATATCTTGACATTCATCAATATCAAGTTGTCCAAGTTTTGCATGTAGCCATGGCAGAACCTGCGTGAGTACAATGTAACCACACTGCAGGTGATCTTGTCTGAACAATGGAAATGAGCTATTCAGTATAAAACAGAAAGGCAAATGGCGTACTCTGTGGTATTATCCTCTGGGCTCCCCTCCTCGTATCTGTGATTGTTCTTGGCAACCAAGTCTTCCAAGCTGGTATAGAGCACAACCATCCGACGAATCGCTCTACCTTGAGCAACATAGTAAGTTGTCTTTCTTTTAGGATAGGTAAGCAACAAGCACAGAGCGAGCAAAGTGGTATGTATCAAACCTCTGCTTGATTCCTCTCTCTTGCCTCATGTTTTCCAGCTCCTCTTCCAATGCAGCGATGCGACGCTTTGCTCTTGCTTCTGTAGAGGTAGGGACTACCCCAGAAAGGTCTGGAAGTGAGAGGGATTGCAACCCAACCTGATTGTCAGCCCCTGACACAGACATGGTAGATGTGAGGGAGGTCAACGTGTGCGAAGTGAAGAATAAAGAGCAACAAGTGAGCAATGGTGAAGGTAACGAAAAAGAATATGGAGGGAACTGGGAGATTTGGAAAACTTACTTAGACCATTATATACCCACTCGCTAAATGTTGAAACTTATAGGGCAATGCCTAATGTGGATATGATAGGGAGTGCAACTGCAATTTGTGCCTAAGTGAGTTTTGCTCTCAAGATGTAGTACATAACATACTAGTGTGCCCAGATGCTCAATTGACTTGAAGAAGGGTCATATGATCATAGTGGATGACAGGTCGAAACGGCCAAAGAACTAGCAATTGACTAAAGACATCTGCCAATGGTGTCAACTACTCTTGACAATCAAACAACTACCTAACATACCAGCCCATTGCCAATAGTTCGAGTTTGTATTCTAGTATACATCAATCAAATTAAGTGAAAGTAAGTTCTATTTGACTCACCATATCGATGCAGCAAAGCATGTAAGAATGGGGTGCACAAAACATGTGAGACCCCACTTGGCGACCATATTTCCGGTCATCCACAACTGCTGTTGCCATCCAGCGCTCCGCACAATGCATGACTAAACAATCGAGAAAAACTTTCAATCAGAGTATGATGCATGAACCTCAGTATTAAGACCCGAAGGTCTTTGGAAGTTCAAATAGGCCGATATAACAAATAGACAAGTCAAAACCACTGGCTTTTGGCCAACATGATAAGAAAGTTGGTTCCATTGAATGGCTGTGAGGGCTTGAGCTATGTATGACACAGAATACTTGAAGGTGAATCAAAAACAACGATTTATGGTGAACACTGGGCACTCACAATGATACCAACGATGTGTCACTCCAATATCTCTGATCAACGAAACAAGGCTTGTCAGAAACTCATAAAATATGAACTCAAGTGAATTTACCTGAGGTACAAATGGAGCAATTGCGTAGATTCAGTGAGCTGCAAGAATATCAGGGTAATATTTGTGAGTTTGGATTTTGCTCTGGAGTCCATTCCAGCTCTTCAGATAGAGTCATTCACAATGGTTAGCTTCTAAAATGTCCGTAAAAGAATAGGTACCATGGAACTTAAAGGTTCTGAAAAGGTCGCTACGCCTCAAGTCGGCTCCATTGAATTGAACAGCAGAGACAAATGGCCTGTAAAAAACAAAACCAGTTGTCAGTACACATTGTAGTAAACAGATACCATAAAAAATGTGTCGCACACTTGATCCTCAGATAACCTACAAAAGGTTTATCCGAGGGTACATACTGAGGCAGGACAAGGTTCATTGTCATTAAGATGGTTGGTCCAGCTGTTGAATTGTTAAGATGATGTTAAGTTGAAGATAAATTAAGCCACTCACTTTCAGGTAGGTCAATTTCACTGACAAAGCTCTTCAAGCCCGTCTTCAGCGTCTTCAGAGTCCAGGGAGACTGAATGCTTGCGATCACTGAGCAAAATGGGATCAGCGACTCGAGAACAACAAGCCTCGAGGAAACCTGGCTACCACATATCTGATGAGGGGGGTGAGATAAGACCGCAAACAAGAGACTTACTAAGATTTACTCGGCTTAGGAATACTTTGGGAGAAGTTGCTTGGGTCCATGGATAACTACATTGATAGATCTAGTATGGGGTAGTGCGAAGGATTCATGCTCGGGACAAAATAATATTCATGGCCTGGATAATACCTGGAAATTAGTATGTCTGGATTCATGTATACTGACTGGAGATGTAAAGAACATCACCTTGAAGCTTCTGGGAACTGATCTACATTGGAACAGTAACAGGGCACCCTCCTTTAATGAACGTGCACTGACCAGCAGAACACTGCAGGCAGGACTTCTGGAACTGAACGTGTTCAGTTCACTTGCATCCATGGAAAAGTTCACAGCTCAACTTTAATGATGGAACGTGCACTGACCAGCAGAACACTTCTCCTCTGCGGATGCAGTGCTAGGGTGTGAGCCGAACAGTAATTACTAATGAGGGTACAGCGGCTCAAAATAGAGTTCAGACAACATACAAATATGTCACGTGTACACCACATAACACGCGCACGCCAGATAACACATCAAAAGGACATCAACAAGTAATATCAGATGACTATTAATTACCAGCTTCTGGCTCCACAAAGTGGACAAGGTTCCAAATAATCTCAGTTGTCTTGAGACTGAGCTTTGTTAGATTAGGCAATGATAGCGATGGGGTGAGTCACAGTGGCACGAGGTTGAACAGGTCCTCTTCTCAGATTGCTGCCAAGTCAACTTCAAAGTCCAAGTCGTTCCCACAGAGTCTTCTCGCAACACAGCATCTTACTAAATTTTATATTTCTATTACTGTAATTTCATGAATATGTCTCGGTCAGTTCACTCACTTGTCAACTCGGTCTCTTCATATATATAACAATACCTTCCATATTTCGTCCTTCATATGATAGTGGGCAAGCAACTGTAGATTCCAGCAACAGGTCATGGTTCAACATTCAACAGTCAGGTGATGTAGGGCAACTCATGATTTCCTCAGGCTCAACTTGGGTGGGCTCAACCATGGGACCTACCATAGCAGATCCATGCTCAGGCATCAAGGGTGTGGGTTCCATCACTGAAATGTCCAAATCAATGAGGTTGGAAAGTGCAGAGGGGAGGGGTGACATGGACGGGGGGACCTCCTTGATCAAGCAACATTGATGCATCGGCCGGTGTGTCCGGAAGTGAAAATGAAGGGTGCTAGTCGATCACCGTGTGCCGGAGGCTCTCATGGAGGCATTGCAGGGTATTAATCTTAGCGTCCTGCTCCTGCACCTGAGCCTCAAGAATCGCGATGCGAGCTGCACCATCCCGAATTGCGATTGCCATGGAATGGAGATCCGGCATGGGAACATTGAGTGCTGCACGAGGGACTGTGATGCTGGAAGACCTGACTGCTAAGTAAAAAATTAGGTCAGCCAGTCATCAAGGGTTGGGGTGACTTACCAGCTGGCGCAGGTGCAGGGACAGGTGCAGGGACAGGTGCAGGTGCAGGTGTCTTCTTGATGGTGATGGTCTTGCTGCGACCACGTGACTGCACCTGGGGTGTAGTTGCAGCAGGGATGGCCAGAGGTCGGCATGGGCCACAAGATTGACTATGAGTTCGGGCCCTTGACTGGGAGGGAGACGGAGCATTGGATGGAGCAGGGGCAGGTGCCTTGGAATGCGTCCGGCCAGTGGTAGACTTCCCTCAGATCCGTTTGGGTGGGGATCCCAGAGATGCAGGGTTGCATTTGATCTTCTTGGTGGAGCAGCAGATGCAAGACAAGCAGGGGAGACTGGTCCTCTTGTCCAATCGAGTCGCACAGGGCCAATTCTCCTTGACACAATAATGGCAGGGGTTGTTCTGTGGTATCCATTAGTAGATGGACGAAGGGGAATTAATTGGAGTACTCACTGGGCCGGGAATGGTGATATCAAATGTGGTATTGGCCGGCGGATCACCATCCGAAGCATTGGAAGTATCTTCAGAGGGCTCCTCAACTTCTGGACGACTGCCAGAGGTTGCCTGATGGATTGTTAATACACGTATGAGTTTCTGGAGAACTTCTAAGACTTACCTGAGCCTCCGGACGACTGATGGGAGATTTCTAATGTAATGGGAATGAGTGTCAATTATACATGGGAGGTCCGGACAAGTCTGAACGACTGCCGGCAGTCAGCTGTGGACACATGAGCATATATTTAAGGTCCAAACGGATGAATCAGACTTACCAAAGCAGGCCCAAATGATTGCTTCTTGGGGGAACTGGGTGACCAAGGCACCTGGGGCTTCCTTACAACAATGGTGGAGCGCTGGGGAAGGATGACCTCCGGCACTCCACACGAAATCGGCTGCAACAAATTGAGAGCATGTCACAAATAAGCCAGAACACATACCTGAATAATTGGGTCTTTATCATCTTCCGACTCCACAAACGGCTTCGACTTCAGGAGTTGTCACACTTGTGTGCCTTCATCGCCGACTTTGGAGGTTGGGAGGAGTGTCCGGAAATCATTGGAGACTTCCTTTTGTTGCTCCCCCCAATTTCCGGCTCCAGGTCGACAGAGGTGGCCTTACCTTTTCCTTTGTCCCAGACCTCGGGGGTCATCTTGCCGGAAGGTCCGGCAATGACCGGAGGTGAGGGAATGACAGGGGTGGGGGAAGGGACAGGTGCAGGTGAAGGGACAGGTGGAGACAGAAGGTTGACAGTCAGTGGGCTAGTGGGAACGTTAGGGACAACAGGGAGATCACAGGAATTGTCACCCAACGCCTCCCAGGCACAGACTTGCTTGCGCCAGGCATGTCTAGCCACCCGGGGGTCATCATGGCCAATGCTGAACCAGTTGGGCAATGACCAGGGAGTCATGGAACGCACCCTCATCAGCTCTTTAGAGCAGGACCCCACAATTCCAGGGATGTATTCCCCTTTCTCATAGGCCCGGATGATGTCAGCCTACCCGGACATTAGAAACATTAATGTTACACTAATTTAATGAGTTCAACATACCAAAAGAGTGGTGACCTGCTTTGTCAGAGCAAGGTGGACATCCACTGAGCCGGCTGGGATGTGCCGGGCGCCGGCAATGATGCCCACAAGTTGAGCAGTGGATGCCTTGAGGTCGGCCAAGGAAGATTGAACTTGAGTAGACATTTGGATGGAGTTGACAGATGTGAGAATGTTGAAAGCAGGGTGAAATCTGTTATCACTAGAATGAAGTTTCAAAGAAACAATACAATTGAAGGACAATGTTGAAAATCGTTCATTGTTTGTGTTTGTTTGGTCATGGTTCAACTTTCGGCAATCACCAGCCATCTGTTGAACTTTGACGTTATCAGTTATCAATCAGTTCATCAGTTCATCAGCTCATCAGATATCATGAGTTCTCAACCTGGGGTCAGATTTCATGACCCTCCAGTCACTGAATTCACTTCAATGGATGTGGATGAGTCCTCCCAGTCCCTGGATGTCCCTTGGTATGTTTTGTTTTTTCTGATTTCAGTCAATTGATCTGACATGGTTTAGATCCATTAGATGATATATACCTTGGGCCGGATGATGAGTTAGACTCTGATTCTGGGTCGTCCGGTGGTTTGGATGTGTTGAATGTGATTCCCGGTATGTTTTCCAATTCAAATGTACATATTCCGCATGTGCAAATTCATCACA